TTGACGAAAGTTGAACATCGTTCGGTGGTGAAGTTCCTCACGAAAGAAGAGAAAGCACCTAAGGAGATTTATGAACGTTTGTATAACGTTTATGGTGTGTCTTCGCCTTTTTATTGCCAAGTTAAATTTTGGTGCAAGCAGTTTAAGTGCGGAAGAAAGGCAATTCAAGATGACCCAAGGTCGGGGCGCCCTGTGGAGGCTTCTGATCAGGAAATGTGCGACAAACTGGAGAGTGCGATACTGGAGGATCGTCGCACCAAAGTCTCTGTTTTAGCTCATGAACTGGGGATTTCAGAGGGCACAGTGATTAATATTATTTATGAAAAGTTACACATGTCCAAAGTCAGTTCTCGATGGGTCCCAAGAATGCTGACTCCAGCTCAGAAGAAGAACAGTTCTGACATCTGCAAGGAAAACTTTGCTGTAGCTTGGAAAACAACTTTTTTTCCCAGAATAGTAATTGGTGATGAAACTTGGGTTCATCACTGGGATCCCGAAACCAAGCAGGAGTCTATGGGTTAAAAAACGTAATATTACGGTTCCCGGCGTCAATGGGTTAACTCGAGTTGAACACAGCAGGATCGGTGTTTTGGCTCCGCTTCGAGTGCTGCCAAAGTGTTCTATTAGGATGAGGTCCGGCGACCGTGCTGACCATTATAGGACCTCGATACCATGCTCCCCGATACCAGGCTGAAGGAGTGTGAGATCGTGGCCCCGTGGTCCAGACGGTCTTGGAGCTCGAGATCTGAGCGAACGATCGCGCTTTACTATCCTGGCATTTTCGTCGCGCAATTTTTTTGGAAAATGAAATTTACAAGGCGAAAAAAGACATAGAGAAGAAGATACCGTTAAAGGGGTGGAAATATTTTCCATGCAAGTCATTACCCCATAAAAGGAAACGTTTACTCTTAGGCTAATATTTCATGCACCAGCGAAGATCTTTGGAGGTCGCGCTTTCGTTCATACTTCGTCTTCGGAGATACTGGAATCTCTCTTGCACACTTATGTTCAGTGAGGACTGTCAAATGCAAGTTCTAGTGAGAGGAACCAATGAGAGAATCTGGTTTAAAAAAAAAAAGAAGTGGATTATTTGTTATTGATTTGGTTTTGGCGCCGGAGCAAGTCCTGATTCAGCACAGCAGCTTGCGTGCAATCGCAGGGATTAGTTTAAAAGAGAAGGAGATGCTCCTCAGTGACATAGTGCTCTTCTTACCCTGGTGAAGCACCTCAACGACCTGAAGCTACAGGGAAAGTATGGAATACCTTATTTTTTGCCTTTGCTATATATTCCTTTCCCCTTCTGTGCAGACTGTGCACATTGAATCCGGCTTTCCTTGGGAAAGACCGGTCTTTCCACGTCATGTCGTAGGTGGATTCTTATAACATCA